ACAATGGCAAACAACACCAACAAGTGTGGTATAGTTCTCACTTCGTTTCTTTTGGATAATGAATTCTGTTTTGGATCCATGAGGTGACTTTTCTACGTACGTTTAAAATGCCTTGATATTGGATTCACTTTAAAATTGAAAAGTGGTCGTTTACGCGGGAAATCAATTACATGGTTTTCCGACGTAATTCTTCCGTATATAGATTTTATTAAAGAAATTATTGTCGCTTCAAGGCTCGCTATCAAAGTATTTTAACCGTTATGAAGCTGAAAAAATTGTCAGCTCGCATTTTCCGAACACTTCATAATTTGAAAATAGGTATGTTTACAAAGTGCTTTTTAGGGAAACTTCGTAAGTCGAGGGACGCATGCTTCATGATTTTGTAGTATCCAAGGCGAACTGCTCTAATTCCATCAGTAGCTGTTACGGAAATTAACCCTATGTACTTAAACTCTGAATTTTCTCCCAAAAAGAATGGATTTATATTGTTACTTATAAAACTGCATGACTTCCAATCTCAATAAACATTTATTTTGCATTGTATTGGTTAAAGTTTTGAATTTTTTCATTCAGCAATTTCTTCACAGAAATGTTTTGATTCATAAAACTTTTATAAAACAATGTGTGTCAGAGTATAAAACATACACACAAGTCAGCTGTTCACATCACACAAAAAACAGATTAATTAATATTACTTAATTCTAGCTTTACAGCAATAACTAAGTGGCAAAGAACATATCACAGAAATAGAAAAACAAGACCGCAAGCATATCACTTTTGCAGTCTTAAGTTTTGCGGTACACCGCTTATGGGATTCCCGGAACAGCAGGACCTAATGGCTTCAAATGAACGTTGCCAGGAGAATGCACCATAGGTACATTCTGCTTCCGAAATTTATCGACGCCTTCATCGCCCTTTTTATGCACAGGAGCATTCAGCGGCTGATCGGTCATATCTATAGCTTGTTTCCGCTGGTGATTAACTGCGGCATCTATAGAAGACGGGGGCTGGGACAATCCTGAAGGATCCACAGGATACATTGGAACGGTAGAAGCAACTCTAACCGCCTCTTGACGCCACTCCTCTTCGTACCGTTCTAACTCTTCTTCGGTAAATGCTGGTTTTTTGTCCATCGCCTGCCACTTGTCATCGTTATCGAAATCGGCCGTCTTGCTCTCTCCCAAAAACTCTTCGTAACTTATCAGCGAATCGCTGTTTTTATCCACTTCGCTAAAAACATGTTGCCTCATCTTCATACGTTCCATATCCCTAGAATTTGTCAGTAAGCTTCTGTAGTTCAGTAACATCATAAATAGTTGACGAACGTTCTGAATTTATTTATACTCATGGAAATTATTAGACTGAACCGGGGTGACAACATAAAGCATTCATCTGCCTATCTTTCGATCGAAGATCAGTAATCTCAACGTCATTTTAAATACAATAACGTAATCGTGATTTTATGAACTAACATTCAAAGACAAATTTAAGACATCTTTGAGGAGAAGACTGTGAAGTTAGATCTCATATCATAAATACAGAGAATTTGTTATTCTCTAAACTCATATGGAAACCTATCTAGTTCTGCACATAAAGGTCGTAAAGCAGCTGAAAAAAACTCATTAAATTGTAGGGGAAAACAGGTAACTGAGCCTGCAGGTCTACCACCTGCACTAGCTGCGCAGGTTTCTTGCAACCAGATGCCTTGTAGTAATATACGCAAAAACGTTAGAAAAACGACGAATACCGATTAGATTTAACCAAACCTATAAAGCACCTAGTAGAAATCAAAACTCCATATATCAAGACTGAAAAAATTACCTCTCTATAAATCCAACTTAAATGACATGGAAAATGTGCAACAACGGACTTAGGGGATCACATGCTACGAAGAAATACAGACGGGATTCTCATCAGCCCTGACACGGAGACCTACCAGTTACGTGACCAGGGTTAACAGAGTTTATTATATTTTATGGCAGTTCCGTCTACTAGAAGGAAACCGCGATTACAAGCAGGATCGAATGGATCGGGGCAGCATCGATATTACTCCATGAAAAAAAGAATTATAAACCTTTTACTCGCCTACTGTCTAAAAGAACAAAGACAGCTCAGAAACAAGAAGAACACAAATCGGAACGATTAACCATATCAGGAAATGAATTGAAAGTAACATCGTCTACGAAAATTACTTGATCAGGATCTGGGGAATAACAATAACGTTGTACAATTTTGGACCCTCACTCACGTCAACTCCCTTTTGGTCCAAGGAAGGTACTTTTCGCTGTCATATACACCAAAAATATTTTCGAAGTAAATCAGGGTGTTTTGAAGAAGTATGGGAATAAATTAGAATTAGTAAAAATTTTCAGCTTTAAATAAATTACTTTATTTAGGTCTAAAATTGCTTACATATTTGTTTTGCTTAGATTAATTAGAGTTTGCATTAATTACGAAATGTGTATGTCATCCTCAAACGAAAGGATCATAACTTTAGAAGTGTTGAAGTCTGGCGATGTTTCATTACTTTTGGGCCAACTGGTAAGGATCACTGGTGTTGTACACTTCATTTAACTCCTTATCGAACAGCGCCTCGACCTCGTTCTCGTCCCAGTAGCCGTCCGAGTTAATATCGTGCAGTTTGAAAAAGGTCTTGAGATCAAAGTTTTCTTTCGGCATTTGGTCTACATTTTCCCATACTTCTTCGAGCTGATCTTTGCTGCCCTAAAAAAGAGAATGAGGTATAAGACAGCAGAGAGCCATTTTGGCTCTTGTCTCCAAGCAGTACTGGATGTTTCAACTTGCGATCATTCCGGTCTTGTTCTTGCGCCTTTCTCATGGTCTCCAGCGCAGCACGTCTCTCTTCGGTATTTAGTTTACTTAATTTCCGATACTCTTCCTCTTCTACCATCTTCTGTCTCTCTTTCAAGGCCGCCTCTCGCTGTTTGTCCAGCTTCTCCATGTCTTTGGAGAACTGCCGGAAATAAAGAACAATGGA